TGTTGATACTGTCCCCGGACCGGTCTCCCCTAATAATGTAGGTTTACAGAAACTCTTCTTGATAGCCGAGGCTTTAAGATGTCCCGAACATTTTAGCCTCCAGAAAAGTTTGGTAGCGATTTCTTTAGTAAAGTAAGGAGGAAAAAATATCTGCTCCGCTTGTGGTTTTCCAACTCCAGCACTCGTGATCACGTCAAAAGATCAGGAGGATGATCCGGTCAGAAGCTCTATTTATCGTCGACCACTGAAAAGCGAAGACGAACATTTGAGTTTTGGCTTTTGTGCCCTGGCTGTCAYCTAAAAAGCAGTGATTTATATGAAACCTTTCAGAAAACGATCATTGAATGTACATGCACAACTGATTGTTTGCAGCCAACCAAATTCAAAATTGTCGACGGTCGATTCACCTTAGAAAAACAGAAAAATGATTATAACTAAAACCTGGTTTTGTAGTAGCTGAGAGTCATTTACAACAAAATGAACACAATGTGTGCATAGATCCTTTTTCACAGGTTTATTAGCTCTTAGGATGTACAGTTAACATGGGGACAAAAGTGCAATGAACTATAATTCTGATTCACCTACACACTCTCTCTCTCTCACACACACACAAACTGCATTTGAACTTTAATTTCATGTGCTTCTTGCAGGAGTGTGTTAAACGGATTACAGTTTCAACAGTAATAAAGGAGGGTTTACAGCCAGCAGTTACAGTAAGTGAGGTTGTGTAAACTGAATGGGCAATAAGGCAGCAGGTTAGACAGGATGTGATGGAGCCCGGGTCATGGCACAAACACCGATGTGGGTCTGTTGGAGACGTACATGCAGAACAAGATATCTGGGGAGGGGAGGTGTGTTAAATGTTGAGTCCCACAAGACAAAAAAAAGCACTTTATTATACAGACTCATGTTTTAAACTCTGTGCCATGCAGATAGAAAAGAACGAGCTGAAGTCACAGGAAGTCTATGTGTTCCTGAGGTGGACGTGGTCACAGAGTCCGAACTAAAAGGACTGAGAGGAAAGGAGGTCCGAAAGACCGACTGCAACTAGGATTAAAAGTTGTGGAAACGTTTGGGTCATTTAGCCAGAGGCCTGACYTTTGCTGCTGCTGAGATTTTCCACAGTTTAGGAAGATTCAGGACTTTATTTCYATCAGATGCACAAGAGAAATAAAAGTAGATGATAAATCAGGATGTGGTTACATGTCAAAGTGATAAGGGAGGTGTTTACCGTTTACTATCCCACCACAACCAGCTAGYTAGCTTAGATTAGCACAAAATTAACTTAAACATTTCACTGTATGAATGAAAACAGATGCTACTTTGTAAAAAGTGACTTCAAGAAGAGCAAACATGGAGACATGGGGATTTTTTGGAATGATAAATTTGAGTAATTATAGACTGGAATTGATTGAGTCACTGCAAGCAAATGTTTTGTAATTATGTTAGAGTGACAACTAAAGTGCTAAGATCAAAAACAACTTTTTTTGTCCACAAGTAACTTACAGTAGCATCTAAAGTGCAATACAACAGAGTATTTGGGCCACTAAGGACGGTTCTGAGTGTAAATGTCAAGATTAAAGTTCCAATTTTATTGATGGAAAATAGTTGCAACATTCAGAGATGAAAATAATTTAAAAAATAAGCCAGACAAAATGAGCCTCACTTAGCTTTACCAAACATTGATTCCTTTGTTGTTATTCTTTATGGCTGTGTAGGGAAAATAATTAGGGCCATAGACGGGGAAAAAAATAATAATTTTTTTTAATTCTGACTTTGATCTTGGAATTCTGATTTTAAAAAAAATCCAAATTTCTTTGATCTAAGAATTCTAAGGAAAAGGAAAATACTTTTTTCCTTAGAATTCTGAGATCAAAGTAAAAAAAATCTCCACCAATTCTGCAGTAGTCAGAATCCTAAACAGAGTTACACACACACACACACACACACACACACACACACACACACTAAATCTTTTCCGCAGCAATGAATAAATTTTTACTTTTCTAACTAACCTACATAATTTAGTTGAACAAGACCAAAGTGTGTTTTTTCCCGCTGCAGTAGCTCTCAGAACTTGTTTAATCCTTCACAATAAAAGCCTCAATTACAYCAACTTAGTGTTGACTTCTAAATAGTCTAAATGTGAATAGTCTGATCTAGGCTACAGTTTGCATTTTATAGAAAAGCAACAATATAAGCTCTTTTCATAAACKTTTGACATTTAAAGACAATAGAACTAGGTTGGTGTTGAGTCTTATTGTGAAGGACTCAAATGAGAGAATAATAAACTACACCTCAGATTGCCTCAGCTAAAATCGTGTGCTATTTTGTAGTTAACCCTGTAAAAGTGCACCCATAAGTCAGAAAAATAAACTAGAAGCACTTGAAGAGTGCACGACTCCACAAAGACCTGTCGATAAGATTTTAACTTTTTTCTGTCAAAAAAAATGTGAACACATTTTGTCAATATTTACTCTTCAATYTCAATATTTATATGTTAATCTCAAAACCTCGAGGGAAAAAAAAAACTATTTCTTCAGAGTGGCTCCAAACCCTGTGGTAGTACTGAGACCAAAAACAGAGCTGCAGTTCCCCAAGTTAGCTAGCTGTTGGTGGGCAGCTTCTTACAACACAGACGTCCAACTGCGAGCAAGAAAACGGTTTCCTAACGTGTAAAACGACTACAGGGTGCACAGGAACTTTGACAAACTTCTAGTCTTTACACCCTGACCGAGTGCAGAGAATAAACACCATCCAGTCTCCTGCTAATAAAGCTCTGTAAAGCTGAACGGTAGTGACTCCCTCCCACACACACACACACACACAACCTCACACATCAACTGGTGTCCGTCACACTCCACCAGCCACTACTTGAGGAAGGAGTTAAGTTTTTGTTCGATGTGGAAGAAGGAGTCGTCGCCCATGTAGTCGATCTGGCCCGCTTCCCAGCGCTGCTTCCTCTCCTCTGAGGAGATCTTCAGAGAGGGGGGAGGAGGAGGAGGAGGAGGGGGCTGTGGCTGCTCTCTCACGTCCTCATCGAGTTTCTCCTGACAGAGACAGAGGGGCATGAATGAGTCATTTAAGAAACTAGAGCAACGCTTTAAAAGGAAATAGTTCTCCCTCTGCAGCTGGAGCCTTTTTGCTGTTTCACACACTCAGAGCAGATGTTTCAACCTAATCACTGCGTTACAAACAAGGCCTTCTGCAACACTTTCACAGCACATTTCCAGACCAGGATAAAACTACAGGTCCTTCTCAAAAAATTAGCATATTGTGATAAAGTTCATTATTTTCTGTAATGTACTGATAAACATTAAACTTATATTTTAGATTCATTGCACACCAACTGAAGTAGTTCAAGCCTTTTATTGTTTTAATATTGATGATTTTGGCAAAAAA